ATTATACTGGAGTGGTGATCCAGACTGGTTTGTGAACAAGGTATACATGAATATACATAAATAATGTATAGATAATGTATGATTATAATGCGAAAACAGTATAAAGATAATGAATGGCAGGGTGCGATTCAAATGCCAAGTATAAGAACGCGGTACCCTTGCTGTCTATGAACAGTACCAAAACCTCTCGGCTATCATATAACCAACAAATTTCCAAACCCTGATTTTAAACCGTATAACTAAGAGAGTATAGCTCTATATACACAGCTAGAAATCTCACAAGCCTGTCGCAAGCTGTTGATTTTACAGGCTTGCGGCAAGTTGTCAACAAGTCGCGACAGGTCTGTTGGTTTCGTCAGGCGGTAACAGGCTTGCGGGAGCAGGTCTGTCGGAAGCTGTTGACAACAGAGCCGTAGCGACTTGTTGAAACAACCCGCTACAAACCTGTTACTAACAAGAGATAACAGGTCTGATAGAACAACTTGCAGTAAGTTTGTTGAAATCAACAGGTCTGTTACAACTTGTTACAACAGATCTGTCGCGAGTTGTTTTTGTCAAATCTGCAGCAAGCTTGTTATCAGACCTGCGACAAAACTGTCCACAACAAACAATTTTTGTCCTGTCACAACAAGTTTCAACAAGCCTGTTGTCGGGAAACAAATCCAAAATGTGAGTAAAGAGAAAAATCGCACGAAATGGACACGTCCGGCTACACATCTATTCTCTGATTAAATGCAAAAGCCACTGTTTTAGTTTTTAAAAAATAGTTCCGATTTCCAAAATCCAAATTACTGACGTGTGCTATCGCTATATTTCTTTAATCTGATTTGATAAAGGCGTGTGCACACGTCATCATTCCTCGTCGCAATTGGACGAAATATTACAAACATGTCAATCACGCAATCATGTTTAGTTGTTTTTGAATTTTGAGCCAAACAAAATCAAAGTATCAAACAAGTTCAAAGCCGTTTTGATTTTTAGTGAAGAAACTGTGGCAATGAGAACACACGATCTAGAAATGAAAAATACATGAGCAACCGAGTGTTCACTGCAACGTTCTTCATTGTCGCAAGTTGCGACAGGCCTGTTGAAAACAGCATTGCTGCAGCTCTGTCACAATAACTTGCGACAGGCCTGTTGAAAACAGCGTTGCTGCAGTTCTTTCACAACCAGCTCGTAACAGACCTGTTGACAGACCGTTGCGGACCTGACAGGTACAAGGAACTTGCGACAGGCCTGTTGAAAACAGCGTTGCTGCAGTTCTTTCACAACAGCTCGTAACAGACCTGTTGACAGACCGTTGCGGACCTGACAGGTACAAGGCGAGCGAACGCATCCAGATATCGGCTCGTTGATAACAGGTTTTAACAGATCTGTTACAGATCTGTTCCGACTGTGTTGCCAAACAACATGATTGAACTGATTTCATGACTCATATGGAACTAATAAGGAATGTTGGAATAAAACAATGTCATAGTTTCTTCCATGTTTCTTTATATAACTCATAGTTTCAGGTTACTGAATATTCATACAAATAACATTGACCGAAAACATTGATTATTTGTTTTATGCAACACCAAAGTAAATCATCAACATTGTTGTTGAATAATTTGTTAATTATAAACATGGGCATTAGTTATTTGATTCGGCCTAACAAACGGGATTGCGCTTGTGCTCTCCACGGAATAGTGAATTAAAGACCATTAAATCTAACCGTATAACGCAGAAATCCGGCTGGGCAATGCAAAGTGGCGATAATTTAATAATTTATGCGTTATATATTATTCTAAGTAGTTCTATCAAGGAAAATATAGATGAAGAATGTCATCTTTATTAATAATACTAAACCTTACAAACAATTTATGTTATTAAATTATATAATAAACCTGTTCTACTACCTATTATCGACCCAGGCCAATTTGGGTTCATCCCAGGATCGTCAACTACTCTAGCACTAATCTCTATGTTCCATCATTGGTTACGAGCTACTGACGGCACCGCATCCACCGTAAGAACCATACTTTTAGATAACAACATTTAATCTAGGTAATAAATTGACTTACTTTTATTTTTAATTATTCAAAATTGTTGTAATAATGTATAAAACTCAATTGCTGTAAATATTCACATAATTCAGTCTACGACTGCAAACTGTTTTATTTGAATAAACGAATCTGATCTAATGTCTATGTTTACATTCTATAACTGCTCTCAATAGAATTAAATTATTTAATAATTTATTTAATAATTTATTTAAATTTAGGTCACTGTTATCAGTTCAAGTCAAGATCGTTTGTATTCTTTCCCATGTTTCAGATGGGTAATCAAGGATATTGTATTATTCCCTGGTGAAGGTAAAGATCTGTTGCAATTCATACGAAATGCTCCCATGGTGACTCATGGGTGTACCTCCATAAGTAACCCCCTCCTTTTTACTCCTCCTGTACGTACCTAATGGTCTAGAACATTCAGTGCTCTATTGAATTCATGAAAGAATGGCCATTTACAAATCGTTGTCGAAACAAGTAGGACAGTGTGGCATATATCTCTTTTGATATTCATTAAAATTTTAAAACGGTTATGTGCGGCGTTTCGTGAATTCCTTACTCGTTTGTAAAATACTTCCTCAAAAATTCCTTTGGTTCGATGTAAAGACGAAGGAGTTTCCGAAAGTCGTTGTTACATGAACAAAGAAAGCCAAGGTCTCTACACGACAAATTTGATACAATATATTGATATTACTCAATAGTTTTTTTTCCATAATGTTTACGGATGACTTTAATTATTACCATCTGTAACTTTTAAATAATGTAAATAAGAGCACTTCTTCTTAAAGTTTTATTGTATTATATTAGTCCGTAGATTTTAGCTATAAGCTAGGGCGATTCTGTGTATATAAATTCGTTAATAATAATGTAATAATACTGCACTGAAATCGTAATATGCGAACCTAGAATTAATAGGTGCTTGTTCAAGAAAACGATCTGATCCAGCTGGAAACAAGTATTTTAAAATTTACATTTTTCTTTTTACAACTCCAGCAACGTTGCCTTTCAATGAAGTGCCAGCGATCGTAAGTGAACAGCGACAGAAGGAGCTAGAGCGGAGGAAGGAGGCTTACCAGTGGGACTGGGTGTCAGATGATATGCCTGGAAATATCAAGGCTACAGTACATAGTGACCTTCCACGTGATGTTCAGTTTACTGATGAGAAATCCAGGTATGTTTGACAGTTTAAAAATGGGGTCAAGTTCATTCTGCAGATGCGCTATGTGAGGACCTTCTGGTGTAAACAATACCAAAATTTTAAACCAGAACGATGTTATATATAATTGTATCGTATTTTATGATTATTGTGTGCTTTGCAAATGTAAACAACCGCACATCCGTCGAACTGTGTTGATCCCATTTTTTAATGTACTGGATTTGCAAATTATTCCTAAAAATTCGTCTCGTTTTGTTTGAAAATATAGGGTGTAGAACTTGCAAGATTTTTCTTTTGTATTTCGTATCTTGCGAAAACCGAATGCAATACTTCCGCACATGTGTGTTCAATTTGTCAAAATAGTGACCACTTCTTTCCCAATTGCAGAAAATACATCTTTCTTCTTTTCTTTCATCAGTACGTTGAGATATATAAAAACTTGTAGTGGTTGTTTTCGCTCAAATCTCTTCTTTGTATTTGAAAAGTTGTTTCTCTTAAACCCGCAAACACGCAGAATTTGAAGGGCACCATTATTTTTCGATTGTGTTTCCATATTTTTCCATGTGAATTTTTCATATTGACCTCAGGTCCTACCAGGAAAGCAGAAAAGCAGCTCTGGTCAATCTTGGAATAGGCAGTCTCTTCACGATGTTCGAGGATTGGGATAATTATGATGATTATCATATTTTGTATCGCAACTGGATCCTCGGTGCTACTCCTAATATGGCGGATCGATGGAATCAAGATCGCTGGTTTGGTTATCGGTTTCTTAACGCAGCAAATCCTGTGGTAGTGGTCCGTTGTGATGCACTTCCCGAAAACTTCCCGGTAACGAATGGTGACGTGAAGGCCTCATTAGATAGAGGAAAGACCTTGGAAGAAGAAATGAAGGTAACAGCTCATCAGAAATACTGTATTTCCCCAAACCCGCGAAACCTTCCTGTGCCTATTACTGTAAAAATGTCAGATTATTACTTTTTTTATTAGATTATTATTATAACTAATTTCAAAACAATTTGCTGCAATAATTATAATAATTATACTCAAAAATTCATTCAAGTTGTAATAATTATACTCAAAAAATCATTAATAATTCATGAAGCAATTATCCAATCTTGAGTAAGAAATTAGTCACGTGTATACGTCTTTATACCAGCTAAAGAACACTTTAACAAAAGACCATTGTTATGCAAACTATATAAAGATTATTATATAAAGATTTTTATATAAAGATTTTTATATAAAGATTTTTCATATTCAGATTTGACTTACTATGCAATCGTTTTTGAAGCCATTTAAAAAACTCGCAAGTCGTGTTTTATTAGGTCTAAAGCCACTCGCGCTGAGCGCTCGTGGCCTTAAACCTAATAAAACACTCCTGATCGTTTTTTAAATAGTACATAAAGCTTTTTGTGATTGATTTGCACTGTCATACTAAGTTTCGGGAGAAAGGAGGGCTCTGGGCTCCTCCCCTCCAGAACATTTTTGAAGCTCTGGCACTGCATTTCTGGCGTTTTCTAAAGCAAATTCGGAAACAAATTGGATGTAAATTGATTGTATATATTTTACAAAAATGGTTATCATTTCACAAAAATAAGTACTTTTTGAATTTCCGCTACGTCCCTGGAGCAAGCCTGTGCTACCCGGTTATTGGGTTTATGTTGGATACAGCAAGGCCGACGTAAATGGACTATATTCGAACTTGTGCAGAAGCCATGTAATAAGGACTAATCTCGCCAGAACAACGTGGCAGGTCTAATGAGTGTAATTTTCTATTTTTCTACAAACAGGATGGACATATCTATTTGGCTGACTTTAAGATACTCGTAGGTGCTAAGTGTTATGGCGGTCCTATACTTGAAGACATGGGCTACAAAGTACCAGATAATATAAACCATGATGAAGCTGACATCCGTTACTGTGCTGCACCTCTTGCATTGTTCTATGTCAACAAGCTTGGTCATCTTATGCCCATAGCCATTCAGATTAATCAGGAACCAAGTTCCGAGAATCCAATATGGACACCACATGAGCCAAATGAACATGACTGGATGTTGGCGAAATTTTGGCTTGGTGTTTCTGAGTCAAATTTTCACCAGGTATATACAATGTGTTTGTATACAGTAGTTCATAGTTCTCCCTGGATCTTATTATAAAATCTATCTATATTGGTACCTCGGTGCATCATATAATTAGCTTCGTCTTGCTTCCTACAAACACTTGTAAGGAACTTTATGATTACTACATATTAGCATCTTTTTACCCTTCAATTATGTGCCGTAGATCCTGAATCCTTTATCTTTATAAACCGGAATCCGAATTCATTCATTCAAAATTTTGGCTTTTTGTTTTTGCATGTTTCTCTACACTTCAAAAACTCATTAATAATTCATGAAGCAATTATCCAATCTTGAGTAAGAAATTAATCACGTGCATACGTCTTTATACCAGCTAAAGAACACTTTAACAAAAGACCATTGTTATGCAAACTATATAAAGATTTTTATATAAAGATTTTTATATAAAGATATTTATATAAAGATTTTTATATAAAGATTTGACTTATTATGCAAACGTTTTTGAAGCCATTTAAAAAACTCGCAGGTCGTATTTTATTAGGTCTAAAGCCACTCGAGCTGCGCACTCTTGGCTTTAAACCTATTAAAACACTCCTGCTCGTTTTTTAAATAGTACTTCTCGCTATTTATCTAATTTAATATATTATACTTCGGCTATTCTGAGAGCAATAGCTTTGGTAAATTTTATATTGAGCATGGTGCGAGACAGACCTTTTCATTTTCATTTTTACGCAAGTAACAACTAGTTTTCCAGAATTTTGTAAATTATAGTAGAAATACCAGGGTGTAATGGGATTAGTAGAATGTCAGCAAACTTCCAGCCTCCCGACGGGGTTATTTGCCAGCTAATTGCTGGCTATTGTGATAAAAAATAGTATACTTTCCAAAATGATTTTTCCTAATTAGTTAAGATGTTTTATTTTTTGAATTGTTAGTCAAAACTACGGCAACTCTCTGTAGCCACTGAATATTATTCACCATGAGGAAATCTTGTTTAATATTCATCATTTTCTTCTTGTTTTTCAGCTCTGTACTCATTTACTGCGAACTCATTTGACTACTGAACCATTTGCCTTATCAACATGGCGAAATCTAGCATCACCTCATCCAGTGTTTAAATTGCTGCAACCTCACATCTATGGTGTCCTTGCCATTGATACCATTGGTCGAAAGGAGTTGATTGGCACAGGTGGAATCGTAGATCAATCTCTGTCCTTGGGTGGGGGTGGCCATGTCAAGTTCATGGAGGAATGTTTCAAACAGGTATTCCATTACAGGCACATGAAAAACTACCCCGCAATATCTTTTGGTTTTTAGCATGATTTCAGAGTTAAATGGAGATGGAGAAAATGAACTTGTTACACTGGTATAAAAGATGAACGGTCCTAAATCTGTAAATTTTTGTATAAATATTTCATTGTTAAATTTGTATCACCCCTAAATCTTGCTTCTTCAAGGAAAATATTCTTCCATCTTCTTAGGTGAATCTTCAAGACTACAACCTTCCAAATGCGTTAAAGAAGCGCGGCGTTGACGATCCTTCCAAACTGCCAGGATATTACTACCGAGACGACGGTCTAGCTCTGTGGGAAGCCATTAAAGCATTTGTTGGTGATATCATTGGTATTTTCTACAAAAATGATGATGACGTGAAACGAGATAACGAGATTCAGAGCTGGATCTATGATGTCCACAAGAATGGTTGGCGTGTCAACCCTGGCCATCAAGATCACGGAGTCCCAACTTCATTTGTAAGTCGAGAACAACTAATTGAAGTTCTTACATCGCTCATCTTTACTTTCTCCTGCCAACATGCTGCAGTTAATTTCAGTCAGAAAGATCACTTTGGATTCACTCCTAATGCTCCAGCTATCCTACGAAAGCCACCACCGAAGAAAAAGGGAGAGGCAACGCTGAAGTCAATTATGTCAACCTTGCCAAATAAAGGTCAAGCAAGCAAAGCTATTGCAACTGTTTATATTCTGACAAAATTTTCTGAGGACGAGGTAAGTGGTAGAAAACAATAAATCCAATTTACCATTCCTGCTGGATTTCGGAAAACGCATTTCGCGAAATGGGCGTTAATAGGAAGATCCCTGGTAAGAAGTAAGCGATTTTGTAGTTGCTACCCAAACTTATCGCTTGGTCCAATTTTACTGTTCTTTATGACTGTTATTTGAGCACGCGATTCAAAATTATTCATGTGCGCGCGTACACGAACATTTATGGAGTTGCGTGAACATAAATGCGCTTGCAATTGACTGTTGTAATTATTCGTATAGCCTTATAGTGTAAAAGCCACAACAAGATTAGTAAGAGCTTGATGATGAGCAGTAAAACAACCGGAAAACAAAAAATATTATCCATTATTTTGTATAATCCTGGAATTTAAAAAAAAAATCAAATGTTACGAATAAAGGTGAAGCGAATGCAAGAAATTTTATTGACGTTGAGGTTGGTAATAAGTGTTTCTATGTATTACAGCGCTATCTGGGCAACTACAGCGCCACAGCCTGGGAAGACAATGATGCTCTTGACGCAATTAATCGTTTCCAAGATAAGCTTGAAGACATTTCAAAGAAGATAAAAGAACGAAATGCAAATTTGGAAGTTCCATACACATATCTTCTTCCTGAATGTATTCCCAATGGAACGGCGATCTAGTGTGAACATTGTTAGAACGATATACAGAGACGATAATTCTGTAATTTCTATAATTTTGGTTTTTAGTCTTACTCCATGTAAATTAGAAGCAGTAATAGCACGAAAATACATTAAAATTACCTTGCCATTGTACTTTCTTAACCAGTGTGACTGCATGCATTGGTTTTCAACGAGTGATGGAGGAGGGTGAGTGGCACTGGGGGCACGTGCTTCCCCCCAACTTTTCAAAAGTGCCCTTTTTCCGCGAGCAATGTGCCCTTTACCTCCGTGAAAAAAGTCGTTTAGATTTCATTTTTTGCCCAATAGCCTTTGATTTATGATTGGATTTGGTTTTGTATTTTGGTATTTTCTGCAAAATTCTGTTATTTTGGGGGTAAAATTTTGATGTCCGAAAAAATGTAGTGATTTTAGGGAAAAAATAAGATATCTCCGGAAATGTCTTTAGTACAGTACTGCTCAGAAATAACCTAACAGAAAACGCGTTCGGAACGCGTCCCGAGCGCGTCCGGAACGCGTTCCTAAATGCGTTCATTTGCGTTCCATTTGCGTTCCATTCGTGTTCCATTCGCGTTCCAATTGCGTTCCACTGTTAGCGGAACGCATCTGCGGAACGCGTTCCAGTTACACTCGTGTCGAAACCGGACATCGTCGGAAATCATCGCGATTTCCCGAGTATTAGTCAGCCTCACTTGCACATTTTGTGTTCACACTATAAAGCATGAAACCGCGTTTTTATATTTGCTTTCCACTGACGAGAGCGAATCAAAATAACCTATGATGTACACATCACATACATGTAGGCCTATGTGCGTTGTCAATACTCCGGGACAAAACAAAACACAATCTAGCTAATTTCCTCTAATCGCCATCAGGTTTCTGATGGCCATGTAGAAAATGCTCGCACTTTTACAATACTCTAAAGGGCATCAAAATAAATAAAAATAGTTTTGAAAGAATTTTAATGACTTTAACAGTATTGTCTAAAACTATGGAAATTATTGTCAAAAGCTATTCACTCACGCGTGTGTTGAATAAGCTATTGAATTTCATTTCCGAAAAAGGTAGCCAAAATATCACAGTGTTTGGACTTTATAAAATCATCATCAGACCAAACCCAGTTTACACTATGATTCAAAACTAGATTTGAATAATTATAGGCCTATTTCAGTCCTTCCAGTAGTTTCAAAAATTTTTGAAAAAGTTGTCTTTGACCAAGCATAAGCCTTTTATAAGCCTTTTTTTAACAAAAACAACCTTTTATCTGCCATACAGTCAGGATTTAGACCTCTTCACTCAACGTTAACAGCTATGCTTGATGTCACTGATAAATGGTACACTAACATGGACAGTGGGTTAATAAATGCTGTTTTATTCATTGATTTAAAGAAGGCTTTTGATACCATTGATCATAATTACATTTTACTACAGAAGTTAACTTGTTACGGTTTCAACAAAGAAACAATTGATCTTTTTAGAAACTATCTTTCTGATCGTACTCAAATAACAATTATTAACAACATACGATCTGATTCTCGTGAAATAACATGTGGAGTTCCTCAGGGGTCTATCTTAGGTCCACTACTGTTTTTAATATATATAAACGACCTACCTAATAGTGAATTGGTATCAGATGGGCGTTTATTCGCTGATGATACCAACTTGACTTTTGCGGACAGCAACCCTGACAAGTTGATTTCTGTTCTAAATGACGACCTTAAAACTCTCCAAACTGGCTTAACCTGAATAACTAAGCCTGAATGCAGGCGGTGTGCGCAATACGACCGCAAAGCGTTATGGGGTTTTCGCGCCTGAATTGCAATTGCGCCTCTTTTGCATTTTGCTTTGACCGAGTGAACATCAGAGACAATCAGTGTCAGCGAAAATAAATACTCTAATTTAATATTCTTCGATGGGAATCAATTGCCTTTAATCCCACACATAAAGAAATATGGTAATAAGGTGCATATCAGCGAATTTTATGGACGAATTGTGGCATTCGACGCTTTGTGTTGGATCCATAAAGCGTTAGCAATTTTATCACAACATGGCAATCTCGAAAGGTGAGTTTATATAAATATAAGGTACTATATTGGACTGTTTTACATGTATAGGTAATTACTACATATTTTCACTAAATACAGTACTTATCTTCAATACAAAAAGCTGGGGTGATTCCATTTGTAGTGTTTACTTAAATTAAAGCATATACAACAATATATAATAATTAAATGCTTCTGATTGCTTTTATTTTATGTACTGTAAAGCCTGGTTCACATATGCCTGCGACTGTATCATGATGCCTCTACTTGCCGCCGAAATACCGGCAAAGTTGAGCTCAAGTCAACTTTCCCGGCCTACCGCCGATGTAACTGAGGCACTGGAGGCAATCGGCGAACAAATGCTCACATAATTTACGTTTTAAAGCTACCACCGTATCGTCGCCGGTACGTCGCAGGCATATATGTGAACCAGGCTTAAGCACTCAACTTGGTTCACTTTCAGTAAATGTTCCAATAGTATCGATACTATTAGCTAAAAACAAAAATGATAGAAAAATATTCAGCCTTTGTGTTTGTGAACTTGACTTATCTGCAGAAGGTAAGGATGGGAATTTCATTAGTTACCATTTACTGTTGTTAACACAGAGGAGGGGTTGGTTGATGAAAATTTGGATGAACAATTTCCATTTTACCAGAGAAGCAAGCTGCTACCTCCTAGTAAACTGCCATTGTAGTTTGCCACTTCCTAGCCTACCAAAATCTTTGCAGTCCTGGGTTATTAGCACTTGTTGTCAGGGACACTGGAACGATAAAAAAGCAAGGGGGTCAACACCCACCAATGGGCACCTCTATAGACCCTGGTGAAGATATAAAACTACAATTATGTGTTGACTTGCCAATATATGAAAGCAAACGCACTTATAATCAGGTCACATTCAAGATCACACCTCATGATTTTGCCCAAAAAGCATCACTGGAAATGTGATTTATCAGTTGTATTTTATAACTCAAAGGGCACTTCTGCCCCCCTTGCCCCTCCTAGCAGAAGGCAAGAGGGGCAGCTGCCCCTCCTGCCCCCCCCCCCCAGTTCCGGCGTCCCTGCTTGTTGTGATGGTCAGAATAAAATTCTTAACACAATAATCAGCATCCTGGACAAGCATTTTGCCAATGAACCTGCTGCAGGAAACATCAACCCAACAAGTGGAACAAACCAAAATAACTTTTCTCACCTCCAGGTAGTAATTGGTTGCATTTTGATTAATGCATACCGGAGTAAAATAATCTAGTTGCATTACAGCTTGTACATTGTCCTTGTACAATGAAGTGACACAAAAATAACTTCATTTTAGGTTCCCCTTCCAAACATGCCAACAGAAAGTCAGACTACAGGTACAGTAGTGAATTTACAAGCCAGTATTTACCAGCAGTATTTATCTGTATTTACCATCCAGTATTTACCAGTAGGTAAATACTAGCCTAAAATGAACATGTTTTTTGATTGACTTGCTTAGACAAAGGTGATCATAATTTGTGACTTGTTCTTTGAAGTAATTGTTATCGTAGCTATCTTAAAACATCACAAAATCTCTGAAAGCTGTATTTGTAAAAAAAATTAGTCATGATGATAATTATCTTCAAACAAACCACAAAGACCATTTTGGTCCAAAATAGAAATTAAATTTGTTATCACAACACAAAAGGTGGTGCGGTCTTAGCTATCATAACTTAAGCTTGTATGAACTTATTTTGTGTAATTGCAGGTGAAATACTTGGGACCATTACAAGCATTGCAGACTCATGGTTCTCATGGACTAAATCAACCTTCCCTGTTTGTCCATTGCCCATAGAATTTAAATGAAAAAATTTAGTGCTAAACTCTGGTAATGCAGATGCTCTAATTAGAAGATCTACTGACATCTGCCCAGGAAAATTTAAATGTATGTCGCACTGCAAAATTACAATTGATGGAATTGAGTACTTTGTTTATGGAAAATAACAAAAGTCAGCGAGGTTAGAGATGAGAGTGCAGCAGGTATGGCGAGACAAAGTATTGAAGAAGAAGAGCAAATTGAAAGTGACGTGCACACTGTTCCACTTAAAGTTCTTGGATCATGTTATTCAGGTGAAAGACAGAAAATATTAGAGGAGGCGTTCGAGTACCTAAATGAGTATAATAGGCCAGTCTATGTGCAGTTGGAAAAAGAACCAGACAGTTTACATAATCCAAATGCAATTGCAAGTGAACTGACACAGTATATTAGCCCCCATATGAACGGCCCTAGCTTTGATGTGTCTATAAAATACATCAAACTACATAAACTTTTACGCGAATTGGATTTTATCTCATAATTGACATATCCAAAAAGGTTCATGGCATCCTAATGTGGTCAAAGCTAGCAAGTCTGCTATGTAAATGCATAAAATACACTGAATAGAACTGGTTTAATGCAACTCATCTTATTAAAAAATCAACATTTGTAAAGTAAATTAACTTGTCTGTTTTTAAAGTGCTTATAAATATGAATGACTATATTCATTGTTATTTGTTATTTACAAATATGTGCATAAGGTTATGTACTGTGTGTACTGTGCACAGGATTATCCATAAACATATGCAAATACGCGGATGATTGTACACAGGACGAAGTGGTGTCACAAGGTTCATCCAGCCATATGCAGGAGGCCCTTGAAGCAGTACAAGAATGGTCTAATAGGAACAAAATGACGATAAATTCGAAGAAAACAAAAGATATGTGGATATATTTTAACACAGCAATACCGGCACCAGAACCATTGGTCATTGGAAGCGAGGTAGTGGAAAGAGTAAATTCTCATAAACTGTTGGGTGTCTGGCATCAAAACAATTTGAAATGGAACTGTCATATCAAGAACATTGTAAGGAAAGCAAATAAACGAATGTTTAGTCTGAGAGAATGCCGTGGGGCGAATCTTCCTCCTGAGGTCGGTATTACATGTTATGAATCCAAGATTAGACCTGTTTTAGAATATGCAGCTCCGATATGGGGTGGTTTACCACAATATCTCATTGATGAAATAGAGAGCATTCAAAACAGATGCATCAAAATCCTTGGCACATCTCGGTGCAACTTTGAAACCCTAGAACAAAGAAGAGCACACCTAACTGTTAAGGAATACCAAAGAATTCTAAGTGATCCGACCAACCCATGTAATAAACTTATCCCCCAACCTTTTACCCATGAACACGATCTAAGAACAACAAATAATCTACCATATGTTGTATCGTATACTAAAAGACACCGGTAATCCTTTATACCTAGAGCTATATCCCTTTTAAAACAGTCCTAAATTAATTTTATAGAATATATAACTAGTATAAACATTTTTAGCAACATTGATGTAAATAATAGTAAAATTTCTTCTTATCAATTTTAACCTTAGCACTTCTTGTAAATCCATTGTACTTTTTTAATGGATATTAAATGTTATTATTATTAGAACTGCCCACTTTCTGTAAGATGTCCGCTGACCACTCTCCTCCGCAGAGGCTTTGTAGTTTGTTTTCTTTCTATGAGAATGAGTTTGTTTTCTTTCTTTCTGTAAGTTTGACTTGCGGGTAGTGGGGGAGCTACCTAGGTA